CAAGGCTAGCGCGCAGCCAACCGTCGACACACACGCGAGTTGCAGCCGCCATCACCGAATGTACGAACTCCCCAGGCCAGTGTGTGCGACCAAATCTCGACCAGTAGCGGGTCTTCGAGGACGTATGCCTGCATGGGAACCAGCTCCCCGTGTAAGCAGCGCTAGTGGACATGCCGTCTCTCAAGTGAAAGCGCACAAACCACGAGCTGCTGATCCCTTTCTATACCGTTTGACCAGTTTTTTCGCGCCGAACTGTATTTTTAGCCTCTTGAACCCTTTCTTCCGAGCCTTGCACAGAGAGCTCCAAGTTTCACTAAAGCGTTGTATAAACTCCTTAATCAATAATTTTCTATTAAGTAGAATTGTCGATAAGTTTCCTATGCCACATGCGAGAATTTCTCGAGTTGGTGAGTTAGAGGTTCCGAAAAGATATCGGGAGGAGCCTTAAGATTCAAGGAGAGGCTATGTGTGTTCGTAGGGACCGAGACTACGAAGAGTGCAACGCCTCGTTATTTTTATAAGAAAAATATCAAAAATTTTCAAAAATCAGAGTTAAATTTTCGCAAACATTTTAAAGTTTATTTAACGGGCATTGCTCAACTAAACTCAATTCAACAACGTAAGTACCAACTTAAGCCACTGGGAATAACCCATCCCAGATCAACACTTTAAACCAGACAACGAAAGCATTCTCATCGATGAAATTCAAAACATTACCAATATCAGTAATCCAATTCATAATTCAAAACATGCATAATATCTCAGTTTCATGATCAAATCTCAAACCCTACATTCTAGTAAGTATAGCAAGATAATAACAATAGATAGCGGAAGCAAATAAGAAGTTCATAATATAAAATACAGGCAAACATGACCCTACTCGCCCATCTTTCGCGAATGCCACCAGCTCAACTTGAAAAGGTAGAAAATAGTGAGGGTGAGCAGACCAGCTAGCTCACCGTGGAAATACCATGCATTCTATTCAGTATAATGACTTAAAATCATAATCGCAGCATGAACACAAATCACTACATCTACCCCTTATATGGCCCTACGCTAATGTATACACATCTCTCCCCTGGCATAACCTATCGGCAAGAGAGTTAACCACCAGCATAACCCATCGGTGATTAAAAGCACCATAATAGGACGTCACCGGCATAATCCATCGGTGGGTGCAATACGCATAGACTAGTGGTTCAGATGCATACATTGATTATCAAGCCAAACAATTATAAAGAATAACATACATGGTAAGGTTTATCAACATCCTCCTATTCCGACGACAGGAAGATATCACATAACAACTCAGTAGGTAGGTGAGGCTCGTCTCCTCAGGAACCTATATATAAATCAAGATAATATCTCAAAATACTTATCTCGATAACTCGAAACTCTTGTGGAATTTGGAACTCTCAGAGGATTGGAACAAGACTCGGAACAATGTTCACTAGGTTAAAAATTAAGGTTTGGCTTGAAAATGGGTTGAACGGCTCAAAAACAGACGAGTGAAAACATAAAAACCAAGTTGATGAAAAACGTATAGTTCTACCACTAGTAGTCCTCGTAAAACGAACATAAGTTTTGATGTAGAAAACATTTTGGACTGATGTTTGAATTTACGGAAAGTTAAGAGATAGATCTATATTTTGCATCAAGACCTCTGGTTGAAAAGAGCAAGTTCAAGCAACGAAAACTGGTCCGACAATAGCAACAAATTGCTGCCCTTTTGACAGAAAAACTGCTTGTGCAGTGATAGTATTCCGGACGTAACGTTTTTTACAAAACTGAAAATTAAATGATTTTTGTGCCGTTAGAAACACAAGAGGCAAAGCTATAAATAAATTTCAGACTTACAAAACTTTCGACTGAAGGACGATGGCCAAAAACAACAAGGAACGAACAACTCTGTACGATTGTGATTAATAACAAAACTGACTGCGCGACGATCAAATTTTCGACATAATTTTGAATATAAAAATGATAAACACTTTATTCTTTTTCCTCAATAAAGATAACAGGTTGGGATACAATTTATATGAAGACTTCAGAAAGAGACGACAAGGTTTTAGTACTTAAAAACAGCAAAGAATACAAACCACATACAACACCGAAAAACAAGAAAAAAAAGTTGGACGCGCAACCGTCGAACTTTGGCCATAACTTTAAGTACAAAACTGATAATAGTCTAATTCTTATTTTAGATGAAATATAAGAGGTTGAACTTTAAATTACCAGAAGAGTTCGAAACTGTTTGAACGAGTCTTAGAGGTCAAAAACAGTTGCTAAACAACAATCAACGCAAGGTTTTCAAAAAGGGCTTATCAAGCTCAATACTCAAACGAACATCAATCATCAGTAGACCAGGATTCATATAAAGAAACAAGGTTCCATTTTACTCGATAAAACCAAAACAATAAACACAACAAACGAAGGCTCGATTTATCTCAACGAGAGATTCCAATATCCACTTAGAATTTCACAAAGTAACAAATGAAAACAATTCGACTATAATACGTCCAAACCCAAAGAAGTCCCAATTATTTAATACGAATAGGTCGAACGAATTAAAAAATGAGTATAAAGAAAGGAGGTTCAAGCGATTACCTTCCTTCGGGAATATGCTCTACTAAAGATGGAAATCGGACGAAATGAATCGGGTTATTGATCGAAACCTCGACCACAGCTCGGCCTTCTCGTTCTCGGTTCTTTCCTCGGCTAGGCTTGCGCCTAATTTTTACACATACGACTGCTCGCTCCAGTGGTGGCTCGTCACAAGGGCTGCTCGCGCCGGCTAGGGTGCCGAGAAGAAGAGGTTTATTGAGGGGCGAAAAAAAGAGAGGGGTGAGGAGATGGTTTCCTTGGAAAAAAAAAACGTGAGAGAGAGAGAGAGCTAGCTTCTTTCATCTGCTATAACGTTGGAAAAACCGTGAGTAATCGGGAACATCTATATCTATATATATATAATAAGAATTACCATTTTTTAAAATTGGAAAGTCAAATTTCAGTCAACATTAATTACCTACCATTCTTAGTAACTTTATTTTCCTAATAATCATATTAATAATATATTAAAAGAGTGATTAACATGCTTTGTTATATAGATACGTGATTTTTACTTAAAATTGAAATGGTAACAGGCTTTGTTCATTAAAAATTGACAACATGTTAACAAGATTTTTCAATTTATGAGGCTTTGTTCATAAATTTGTAACATCATGTTAACCATTTTTCAAAGCCTGTTAATACATTTCATGTTTTAATAAGAATTACCATGTGAATATGACAACAATATTTATTTATTAATTCATTTCTATTTTTAATATTCCCCAAACTTCAAATAATCATATTAACAATACGTTTATATGACAACGTGTTTAATGATTAATGAGTATTTATATATCAAATTATTAGTATTTATGTGAATAAATTAATATTTTATTATAATTTTTATTAATGTGCAGTGAATATGGTTTTCAAAATTGAACCATCATCTAAACGATCAAGTTATTCTATTAAATCATTTGTAGTTTGTTCAGATTTTTTTTCCAACGGCATAATCACTCATATAATAACCCAAACGAATGTTCAAATGTACAAATGAGAGGCCAAGTACACAACAGTACTGCCTAATCAACACTACCAAACTAAATGACACCATACATACTTAATCAACACTACCAAATCTCAAACAGAATAGGAATAACATAGAAAATGAAGTAACATAACACAAAATTAAAGAACACCACTGACTCGAGACCTAGTGCCTTCTCTTTCAGTCTGTCACTTCTTAGCTCTAGCTAACATGGGAGAACTCCAACCATTCTTGCATAGCTGTTCTCATGATCCATGTCTCAATCTGCCATTTCTTCTCAAACACCCAAAGATTTCGAGCACGCCACAGCCACCATAGGATGTAGGTTGACAGTTGGATTCTGTCCTAACATATGTCTTGCTTTTTCATTGTACTGATCCACCACCACCATTCCTTGAAGTTCAATTGTTCATGCTGTATTCTGTTCCATTGGACTGGTGCCAACTTCCAAGTGTTTCTAGCCCTGCTGCAATAAAATAGCACATGTTCTTGAGTTTCCTCAGATTCTCCACAAACACTGCAGACACTCTCCACTTCCATTCCCCTGCTGATAATATTGGCATTCACTGGTAGTATGTTTGAAAAACATCTCCAGATAAAATGCTTCAGCTTGTTTGTAACTTTCAGTTGCCAGCATCTCATTCTTGCTCTAATGTTTCCTTCTGCACTCAGACTGCTCTCAGCCTGTCTCATCCTCTCTATCTTGCCCTTAATCAGAACATCATATGAAGCTTTCACAGAGAAACAACCTTTGTTCAGGAAGGGACTTACCCACTGATCTTGAGCTCTAGGGTTCAGATGCTTAATCATGAGTATTTTATCTGCAGTTTCCTCCTCAAACAGAGCTCTGACAATGGCCTCATCCCATTCACATCCTCCAGCCATTAGTAGGTCTTTCACACAAAAATTGTGCCCTTCAATCTGCACCCTCAACTTTGGTATACCATCCTGAAGTTTTGGAATCCAATTGTGATCATTAAGTTTTGTGTTCACTCCATTTTTAATAAGAATGCTTAGGTGAGTCTTCAGAATAGGAATGAAGGAGGCCCATGAATTCCAGAGCCAGGAAGCACCACTCTTCTTACTGTAGTCAAACAAAGAGGAAGTAGGGAAGTACTTACTCTTCAGCACTTTGCTCACAAGAAGGTCAGGATTTGCTATAACTCTCCACAGCTGTTTTATTATTAGTGCTTTGTTGAAAAGTCTGATATCCTGAAAGCCAAGTCCTCCTTCCTTCTTAGGTAAAGAGATTTTGTCCCAAGCCATCCAGTGCATCCCTGGTTTTTGCACATCACCTTTACACCACCAGAACCTTGCCACCATCTGACAAATTTCCTTACACTGGTGGTGTAAAGGTGATGTGCAAAAACCAGGGATGCACTGGATGGCTTGGGACAAAATCTCTTTACCTAAGAAGGAAGGAGGACTTGGCTTTCAGGATATCAGACTTATCTGGTGCCATGCTGAAGAGTGCTGCTGTGATCTCATCATCCTGCACTGGTGTAATCAGATCATTGTTCATAGCCTCTGAAATTGAGCAAGGAATTTGTTGAAGTAGCTCTTCTTCTCCCCTGACTCCTTCTGAGGAGAACAAAGTGGAATAGTAATCAGCAATATGAAAGGCTATGTTCTCCTCAGTATCAAGAACGGTCCCTGAATTGGACAGAAGTAACTGAATTGAATTCCTCTTTCTCCTCTGCGATGTATAAGCATGAAAAAACCGTGTATTACTATCCCCTTCTCGCAGCCACAGAGCTCTAGATTTCAGCCTCCAGAACTGTTCCTCTTCCCTATGAGCTTTGTCAAGATCAGCTTTAACTTGGCCCCATTCTTCCCAGTCAACCTCACCACCTTCCCCCCTCAGCTCCTCCATTTTGTTAGTGAGAATTTGTATCATCTTTTCAGAGTTCCTCTTCATCGGTTTGAACCATGCCAGTAGAGCCATTCTAGTATTCTTCACTTTCTCCTGGACTTGAAACATCAGAGATCCTTCTACCACAATATCCCACCCATTTTTCACAGCTTCATTGACACCCTCTAACTGCAGCCATCTATTATCAAATATAAATCTCTTCTTGCTTCTCCCCTTATCCACATCAGTGTCCAATAGGAGAACATTATGGTCAGATGCACTCCTGAAAAAGTTAGAGAGTTTCATCTTTGGAAATCTCACCATCCAGTCAAATGAAACAAACATTTTGTCCAGCCTCTCTTCAACATACCCTTCAGTGGATCTATTATTGCCCTAAGTATAAAAGGAACCCAGCTGGTTCAGTTCTTGCATCTCCATCCTTACAATGAATTCCCTGAAGCCATTAAAACTTGCATCAGGCCTCCTGACCCCCCCTCTTTTCTCCTCATTACTAGATATAGCATTCCAATCCCCCATTAAAGCCCAGCAGCTGCCCCATCTTCTTTTACACTCCTCTAAGAACTCCCATTGCCTGGATCTTGTATTTCTGTCACAACTGAGATATACAAAAGTGATCCAGTACCATTCCTGATCCCCATCCCCTCTCATCTCAGCTTGAATACAAAACTCATTGCCTACCACTTCCCTAACCTCCATAGTAAGATCCCACATTAGCAGTAAACCCCCTCTTGTCCCATTTGGCTTCTCTAAAAACCACCTACTCTCAAACCCCAGTTTTCTGCACACTGTTTTAGTAAAATCAATATTTTTCTTAGTTTCTGAAAGGAAATAAATGTTTGGGTGGTGGAGTCTCCTGACATCCTTGATTTGGGAAACTGTAGAGGGCCCACCCAGCCCTCTACAGTTCCACACCATAGCCTTCATTGATCACCCTGGGGCCACTTGAGGCTGGCCTTCTCCACCTTCTCCAGTTCAGATTTGGTTCTCCTTTTCTTTTCCACTAGTCCTTCTTCTATAGCCCCTCTGTCTCCTGTGAATAGCACTATTTCTCTGTTTCTCTTCATCGAAGATTCTTTATGAGATCCAGATATGACCTCTTCCATCCTTAACAGTCTACCATCAAAGGTTCCTCTCCTTTTCCATGTGGCTGTTTGGAATTTCTTTGCTTGTTCCAGGTTTTGGGAGTTAAGTCTTTCATTTAGCCCCTCCTCCAATAGTGTTGTTGATTCAATTACCATCAAATCCTTACCTTTGCCTTCACTTTCTTCACTTGCAGAGAAATTGGTAATTCTGGGATTATAGCTCTCTCTCTGTCTTCTGACATCAGTGCCTTCCACCCCACTCTGATCATCTTGCCCCTTCTCAGGGCCTTTATTTTGAATTTGGGCTACCTCTATAGGAGTTTCACTAACTGAGACCACAGGCTTCTCATTAGAGGTTTGCCTTGTCTGGTTTGGATTGTTTCCTGAGCTGCTAGCATAGCTGTTTCTACCTCCTGGATATGTCTCATTAGCTTTCAACCACTCACCAAACTGTCCAGCAGAGACTTGCCTTCTATCTATATTTTCTGCTCTTTTCTCACAGTTTTTATCCAAGTGGCCCAACTTCCCACAGTAGTAACATAGATTAACTAGTCTTTCATATCTAAATGCAATCAGATCTTTCTGGTCTCCGAGTGTGACTGTGGTACACCGCGGTATCTGCTCTTTCGTACTAACCACCGCTAAAATCTTGATGAAACTTCCCAGCTCTCCCCCCGTTTTGCAGATATGGACATTCTTCACCCCTTTAAATATTTGGCCTATTTTGAGGCCAACATCGATACTCATCCAGTTAATAGGCACATTTAGGACTTGTACCCATAGTTTCACTTCATCAAAATTTGTGTGATTGCACCTCAATCCCGGGAACCATTCCTTCAGCACTAAATACTGATTTTCATAAATCCAATTGTGCCCCGCAGCTACTTTTTTCTTATCTTCTGTCGAACTGAAAAGAAACTGAAAGAAATTTGAACTTATCTCTTTCACTTCCATCGGTTGTTGGATTTTCCAGATATTGGTCATCGTTCTCTTAATCCCCAGTAGACTGGCCTGTCTATCTTCCACCACTTTCCCGAACAGACTTCTTCCGCATTCCTCCTCACTGACTTTAATGTCATTCTGTTGGATCACAATTCCCTCTGCTTCAACAGCAGATAAAGAGATATCCCTTAATTTTTGAAAAATTTCCTCGCTAAGATCACACGGTTTCACTTTTCCTGGCGATTTGTCCCCCATTTCCCCAAGTCCAGGAAACCCTAAAACTAAAGACCACTCGACTCGAAATAATGTACTCCAGGTCAGTATGGAATCTAACAATCAGAGAGCATTGACAGAAACAAAAGATCGAAGAAGAACAAGACTAGAAGGAATTTTGGCTCCCACTCGAGAGAATTTTGGCTCTCACTCGAGAGAATGATAAACAATTTATAATATCTATTTTATTTAAATATGTAATTTTATTTAAAATAATTTTAAATGTAACAAAATTTATTTAGAAAATCGTAACGATCCTACCAGTCCAACCGACTGATGTTGACGGATTCAATAGTAAATATTTTATTCAAGCGAACTACACTATTTATAACTCGGTTCTCGGTCCATCCGGTCGGACTGTGTCCAATAGTTTAATTTAAAAATAATGGGTAAATTATAATTAATAATATTATATATTTAATTAATAATATAATCGTAATATTATTTCCCCGTGCATCGCACGGGCCACGCACTAGTCTATATGATAAGAATAACCATTTACTAAAAGTAGTAGTCAAAATATTTGAGAGCATTTAATGCATACCCTTTTTCGGAAAGTTTTTAAATATATGCATTAATTGCGTTCATATACATGTTTTCAAATAAGATGAAATCAGATTAGATCAAAAATATTGTTTTCTTAAATAATTTTGTTATTATCTACAATAAATTCATTGATATCTATTATAATAAATTACAAGATTGATTTTCCGTAATTAATGTTGATAATATATTGGTCAAGATAAATATTACAACATATTTTAAGTTCTAACCATAATATTATATTTTTTTCACAAATATTCACTTTTTATCTAAAAAATTATTATAGAAAATCTTAACTGGTTAGGTAGATTTTTTTTCTTTCAATTAATCAGGCGAAATCAAGTTGGTGAATTAATCTTTGCCAACATAATTTTTTCTTAATCTTTATTTCGTTATATATATAAAAAATAAATTATTCTTCAAATTAATATAATTTACCATTTAAGAGATAATGACCAGATACATTAAATAGTTTCACTAATGTTCAAATTTTATAATTAAAAATATATTAATTGTACTAGAATTTATTTGTATATTATTGCCAACCTTGATTATTTTTTTAATCATTTTTATTTTTATTTTTATTTCTTTCTATAATGAAATTCTTGAAAAAAATATTTTCATTGCAGAGTATGCTAAATAAACTGTAAATCCTTATAATGGAAATTAGAAAATCTTGATTATAAAAGAGATTGAGTTTTTGCCATTTGCTAAATCAAAGTTTTTTAATTAGTATACAAAATTGAATTCTAATTTATTTACATATTTTAAATTGATTACATAAATAAATAATACTAACGTGCATTAAATATTTTTCATTACATAAAACAAAAGGAAAAAAAGACGTACAACTTTATAACTTTTATAAATAATAATGACATTATATATGACAACAAAGTTTATAATAATATAATAATTATTTATTATATGGTGAACAATAATAAGTAAAACTATTGTTTTCTCTTATATCAAGTAATAACTATATATGCTAAAATCAAATTTATATTAGTATAAATGTGTTAGTGAGATAATATATTAATTATTTTACAAACTAGCCCTTATAACATGCTCATATATAATATTTTTGGCTGAAAAAACAACACTAATTAAAAAATATAGAAAATAGATTATAACCCTATTGTTTTTTAGACTTAACACTGATTAAAAGAGATGAAAAATAGATCACTATTATTTTTAGACTTAAATAGATAGAGCCTGTGAAAATAAATTTATTTAATATTTTTGTCCCGTGCATCGCACGGGATACGTATGAGGGAAAGAGACGTGTGAAAAAAAAAAGGGGGTCATGGAGGAGTTTTATCTTCCAATAAAGAGAGCATTAAGGTATGATTAATGTGACGGGAATTACCAAAATTTGAATGGCATAAGTGCACTAAAAGAAGATTAAATCCGGTCAAGGGGAAGGATATTGACTAAAGAAATCCTTGCCAAATATAATCTCCACTATATTTGAAACTTGAAAAGTGAAGAGACCAAATTTTTTCAAGATGCTTGGGCCATAAATTTTAGCAAACCAAGGGTCAGGATCTCGTGGTGCAAAATGGGCCGAAATAATCAAGGGACTTGGGCCAAAAATTAAGTCTAAAGGATGGAATTAAAATGACATAAAATGAGTCGAAACGGATCGAAAACAATTCTACACGATTGAACCGAAAATTTGTCGAAATTAAACTAACATCTAAAATTAATCTAAACTAAGCCACACACATTAATTAAAAATAAAATCATCCACATAATATAATACAAGAATGTTGCAATTAAACTAAACGAGGGCAATCATATAGAAACGAGCAAATAATAATAATCAAGGGCAAGCAATAATATAATGAAATAAAAGCAAGCACATATGAATATATAGGAAATGAAATCATATAAAATGAGGGCAAGAACAACAAGACGAGCAGATAATAATATTCAATAGCAAGCAATAATATAAATACAAACAAATAAAATAATAAAAACGAGAAAAATCCTATAGATCCCTCTAATTTTTTTAAAGTTAATTCTGGAAGCAACTTTTTACAATTACATTAATACGTGTAGTCAATATAGTGATTCATATATTTATTAAATAATTTATATTTATTATTCATTTATGCTAATAGTAAAAATTTTCAAATGTTATATGTTTATTATTTAATTTACATATTTATATATATATAAAGAGGAGCAACATAACATTTAATTATATTATCATGCATTAAATTTTATTATCTCTCCAAAATTTTCAACATTCAATTTTATTTTTATGTTACAAAATAACTTGCTTGAATGCCATAAGTTATGAGCATAAACCAATCAAGGGAGTTACAAAATTGTACTCAAATGTTAAGTCACACTCACTCATGAAAATGGCCAGATGTATTAGCATAAAGAAAATGGTTGTAACGACTCTCCATAACAATTACTTGATCAAAATCAATTTTGAGAATTATTTTCTTAATTTATATTTTTTTCATGAATTAAATTATGATTTATTTTTGTTTTTTTTTATATTGTTATTTTTTAAAATATTCTTCTCTATGCAAATGCACAAGTTGATTACTAGTTCTTCATATTATATACAAAAATATAATTGTATTTTATTTACATATGTTGTATACACATGATTTAGTATAGGCATTATTTAAATTAATACATAAATGTATCTCTTAATTAATTAAATGAAATAATAAAGTAAGACATCACTTTTTTTCTCTTGCATTGGAATATGGATTATGATGGCCCAAATAAATTTAAAAAAAAATGTGATGACGGATTTGTTTAAGACCTCACACGGCTGTGTGTCTATATATAGAGGCCAGTTTCTGTTAACCCCAATTTAATCCACTAGTTATACTTGGAGCAAACATCTATTAACATCTCTTTCTCACAACACACTTTCAAATTAATTTCCATACTTTATCCTTTTTATTCCAATTAACCATGGATTATGAGCCAAACACTTTCCTTAACCTCAGTTTATCATCCATGATCAATAATAACCGTAATCATAATAATGATGAGATGATTAACATAGACTCAATCCCTTACCCTTTATCTCCAAACCATTCCCTATCACCATCCTCAAGCCCGGTCGAGGCCCGTGTTTTCTCATGCAACTATTGCAGAAAGAAATTCTACAGCTCACAAGCACTTGGAGGGCATCAAAATGCTCACAAGTTGGAAAGAACTCTTGCCAAGAAAAGCAGAGAACTCTTTCGTCCCCAATCTCGGGTTGATGGGCCGGTTTTTGGGCCTAGCCATGAGGGTCGTGCCAGCTGTCTCGGGAGAATAGAGGTCATGAATTATGGATTTAGTGCTGTTGAAAGGGATGTTCGTGTTCGTAAAGAAGAGCTCAGCCAGCTTGATCTTTCGCTAAGGCTTTGAATTTTGCTTTGATTGATGCATATTATATGTTGGTGTTTTTTTTTTTTCTTTCCATGCAAGTAGCTAGTATTGGATATGTGTTTGATTACAACAAGATAATCAAGTGTACAGCTAGTGAAGTTAGCTTAATTATGTGTTCATAAATTAGNTATGTTTGTAAATAATATCTTAATGAATATTCTCTTCAGCTAGCTTAAGCTTTAGTGGATATGAATTTGGGAATCAAATATTATACGTTTGTCGTTCAATGCTTCAGATCATGCAAAATTATATCATGGACCGAGTTTCACCTTACAACGAATGTATGCGTCACACTACAGATGAGTACAGTTAAATATAATGATAAATCTATATTAGTTTAATTATGTATAGACTATAGACTATTGTAATATGAATTCAATGAAGTTATATACTGATATATAAGATTTTTCATCATTAATATAGGGGAAAATTGCAAACTATATATATACCCATTACCTTGTAAAAATGACATATTTACCAATAGCTAACTTTTGAGATTGCACAAAGTACCCACTAACTAATCAAATCGCGAACATATTAGTATATTACCCAAAGACATATTTTTGTAATTTTTCGCATATTTGGTGAACAATTTTGGGTTGATTTTATACTTTTGGCAATGTTGTGCCAGATTTTAGTATTTATAGGACATTTTGTACTACACGAAAGTCACAAGGCAAAATCATTATACATCCCAAATTACTGAATATATTTTGTGATTTTCCTTAATCTCGATTCTAAGGAACATGTACATGTCCAAGATATAACAACTACGTATCTAGCTCTGACCTTTTAGCTTCCAACTTCATTACAACAACAATTTTTGGGTGGTGTCAAATAATCTATTAGCTATTCGACCCGTATAATAGATCCAAATACATTATGTTAAAGGTATACAATAATATTGTAGTAGGAATTGACAACAGCTCTCAGGTTGATTATTGATCATGTTAATTAGCAGGGGTGAGCAAAACCGAACCGAAACTAAAAAATCAAACTGAACCAAGCTATTCGGTGTGCTTCGATCCCGTTTTTGAAGAGTTCGTTTGACGGTGCCGTTTGGGTTTTGGAAAACTGTAAATATTCGGTGCGGTTCGATTTTCTGTTCGAAGGGTGTGGTTTTAACCGAACCACTCCGAATATCATAAAGTGTCACTTTAGTTTTACACTTTTACTTAGTAAAAATTTGGACACAAGATCACATAAATTATCTCTCTCTCTCTCTCTCTCTATGTATTAATTCAAACGTATTGAGTCGGCCACGTGTTGAGCTTAAGTGGCCGGCTCACACGTTTCGGATACTGACATGACAAAAATTTATGCTTCGGAATGTTGTTTGTATATTAATTTTAACAATATGGTCAATAAGAATTTGATTGCACAAGTATCCATTTTAATTAGAAAAAAACTTACAATAAAGTGAAAATGTCACAACAGAATATGTGATTATGAATAGTTAGTATTCGTTGTTCAATATTATTATTTGCCAGGAGTTGAGCAAAAAGTTGAAAGACCACATTGTGAGGTGGTCTTGTTCATCACGTAAATAGTATATTAGTTTCATTGAATAATACTGATTAGTTGATTTGAACAAAGTTCAGATTCAGAGTTAGGTTTATGTCTTGTAAAAGTTTAAAGATAATACAAAAAGCAGAAATAGACAAGTAAGCAAAAAGCCTGTGATTGAGAAAATATGCAGGGTGAGCAATGGTGTCCGTGAAGTTGGGCAAACTAATCAATATTTTAACATAATCCCAATGGTTAAGCCAATCAAATGCATACAACTACAATAATGCAATTAATAAGCTATATTTGGATGCTGAAAATTCACCATCATCGAGCCATATTAGGCAAATCATGTCCATTGAATTGCTAAGATAATGTTTCACTTGTGCACATCCCATTATATATGGTGGTGGCTTCTTCACATTTCACAGTACCAAGTGTCTTTATGATGGCATTTTCATGTTTTGACTAAAATGGAAGCCATTTCTTTACATACAAGTTTTGAATGTAAGTCCCGAAATGGGTTCTACATATACTAACAAAAGATTCGCAAAAGTTTGATGTTTAAGGGCGTTGTTTTGATACAATCTTTTTTCTTTGTAGTGTTAGATAAAAGTGACTCATTTGTCTTCCGAAGGATGAAAAACAACAATATAAACGAAGAATTGCAACGAATGGTTTGATCAAACAACGAACACGAACCACTAGCACGACTCTTGAACAAGCTCGAACAATGAAATGAAATAACTAAACAAAGTCCAGACATATATGAAACACGTTGTCGGTCAGACAAAATTGCCAAAGATTAATTTTCACGTTTTTGACAAACGTCTCAAACTTACAACGACTTTTATCTTGTGGACATTGGCACTCCAATAAATAAGATTCCGACGAACTTAATTGATTTTGGAACTCTCTTAAGAATAAAAAAATAACAATAGACAGTACACGATGAACAATGATATAACACGCAGAATAACTCGGTGGACCGACCTAAGTGCTTAGCTCAGGTATGGCCGGTCTTAGGGAGCCTCGTCAGGGAACTCGCTTCGGCATTTTAAGGTACGAGTCGACCTGACAAAAGAATTGAGGGGCCGAGCTCCTTTAGGTGCTCGGGCAATGAGGGACCTCATTGTAGTGCCCCTTTCGATTTAGGTGCTCGGGCATATGAGGGACCTCATTGTAGTGCCCCTTTCGATTTATGTGATTTCACGTGTTTATTATTTTATTTGCTTACCAATATATATTGCACGTTTTTGTTTTATTATTGCTTACATTTATTAATGAATATATGTTTTGCTCTTATTTTAATTTTTATGCTTGGTTTATTTAATTGTATGTGCCTTGTTTTTTTATTACATATTTAATTTCTAGTTAGATCGTTCGGAAATTTCGGTTTAATCGCGTAGAATTATTTTCAAGCCGTTTTCATTATTTTCTTGAACTTTGGACTTGACCTTGTTCATCTCATATTCTCGGCCCAATTGAACTCTAGAAACTGACACATATCATCTAGTCCCTTCCACTCTGGGCGAGTCTAAATGACTCGATCTAAGAGTAGATCTTCATCCGCCTTACGACCATCGTCGTCTCTGCAACAACCCGCTACTTAGGACCAATTTTTTGCAAATTTTAACACTTTCGAAAACACTTATAAATTTTTCGAAATCATTTGCAAACTATCTCGGGATGCTGCTAAAAACTTTTCTACTTAAAAATCTGTTTTCTTTAAACTAGGTCTAACGGCTGGTTTAGACTTAAAGAATTCGGATTATATCTTATCGAATCATGCATATTAGTCTGGACCCGATCGTACTGGCGAACTGGGTAAAATTATTTAAGTCTGAAAGTGACGTCATGCATGTTCTAAAATAAACGTAACGGAAATCTGAAATGCGTGGTTATAATAATTATACAAAATATTTTAAACGAATGTCCCGGGAACAGCTTTCGTCTGGAATCCACGACCACCACCACCACAGCTCGACTCACGCCTGCCCGCCGACCCTGCCATCTGAAAATATAAAGTGGGGGACAACAAAAGAAAGATCCTTTTTGGCTCTCGCTTTAGCTCTATGTCTCTTATCTCTAGGAGGTCTTCCTCCACAGAGTACGGTCCACTTGTACTCCATAAAACCCCATTCTAAAGTAAACAACAATAATAATAATGATATCACAGAACCGGTATATATAAGTAAACTGAAACTCCCGGAACACTATGGCCGGTAACTCCCGGAACACTGGCCGGTAACTCTCGGAACTCTATGGCCGGTAACCGTGTGCACACTTTGATGGTATAATTATGGCGAACTGGGCCACCACCAGAACTTAGGGAAGGCAAACTTGGCCTTAACCCCAAGCGGATAAAACTCATATACATACCTGAACGTGATATCGACTATTATACTCAATGTATAACCCAGACAGGGTCCCCACCTGATCTGCTTTGAAAATATGTAAGTGCGGCTGTGCTGCTAGCTGACTCCTCAAGGTACATAAAAATATAAGCAAATATACTAAGTACTATGCTCGTCATATGCTCAATAATATGCTAAGATGCTCTACTCTATCAGATTACTCATCCGAATATAAAGAAACGCTCTAGGGGTTCACTGAAATAATTCTAAGTCCGGAAATTAGACTGATATGCTTAACTGATCTGGTTTGGCTCGAAAAAAAAAATACTTAGATTTCGGAATAAGACTCGGACCGAAAATCATGAACCAAAACGGACTCGAACCGCCGGCTAAACCGGCCGGTTCGCTAACTGGCTGAACCGGGTCGGGCTGGACCGGACCGGGTTGGACCACCGGTTCACTCTGGACCGGGTGGTCACGGGCTGCTCGGACTGGCCGAGCTTGGTCCCGTGTCGGGCCTGCTGGGGCTATGGCACGGCGTTGGGCACGAGCAGGGTGCGACTGGGCCTCGGTACTAGGCGCTGCTGGGCGCGGGCTGTGCGGCTGGCACGGGCCCTGGCACGACTGGTGCCACTAGGTGCGGCTGGGCACGACCGAGAGTCACTGGGTGTGCTGGCGTGCTGCTGGGCACGGTCGAGCACGAGGGACGCGGGAACTG